GCTGAACCGATACAAACTGTAAATTTCTCGACTTCCCTTTCCATCTCCTTTTAGAGCGTTACTCCTTCTACATTTTGCCTTGTGCTCGCAAGTAGGGTGGGCATGGGTCGGTATCCGGGATTTTCAAGGGTACCCGAATCCGAACTCGAATCTCAGGTCAAATGATGAGTTAAAAAAGAGTGTATATACAATGACATTTTCGTAAATACCCTTTAACCATAAGAGTAAAAGGGTAATTTTGTATTACTCGTACTTGAACTCATCTCTCCGAGGAATTCAGGTTTTTGGGTCCAACCCTAGTTGCAAGTTTCAATCTTTTTTTTCTTGGTTGGGGTTAACGGAAAAAAAAACGTGGACAGGTGATGAGGAGATATGGAGTACCGGAGCCGTACGAGAAGCTGAAGGAACTGACGAGGGGAAGAGCAGTGACAGAAGAGAGAATAAGAGAGTTCATAAAAGGGTTGGATTTGCCGGAAGAAGCCAAAGGCCAGCTTTTGAAGCTAACTCCTCACGCCTATGTGGGTGCTGCTTCTGCTCTAGCCATGGCCGTCGACCAAGCTCTCCACTTTGGCAACTAATAATGGCCATCACCAGTTCTTGCGGGAGAGCCGTTGAATTTTGATTCCCCCCCTCCCCCTTTTTTTTAACTGAAAGAATAATGAATTATGCATCTTAAGCCTCAGAGCAAAGTGAACCAGGCATTCTGGATTGTGCTTTCTTCTAAAGATGAGATATTTGAGTTTTAACAAAGGCTTTGAATTTACCTAATCCTTGATCACCAGAAAACTGAACATGCATGGAAAACGAGATAAAGTTACATAGAGAAAAAACGAAATGGGCATTAATGAAACGGGAGATGCCTACTGATCTCAGTTATAAGCCACGGGTACTTTTCTTTTATCAATCTGTCCAGAAGTAAAATAAGAACAAGCATTATGTTTTCTTGAATAAATAAACCAGAGGGAACCCTTTTTTATAATGACTAAAACAAAAGGGTTTCATTTTTTTTAGTAACTTCATTTGCGAGCGTCTGCCTTCTTTGCATCCCTTGCTGGAAGAAATCCAATGCATTGAAATTGCAGAGAATTAGTAATTGCACCTAAAAACGGAAAGAAGAGTTAAGAAGGGATTGGAGGGCGTCTAAAGATGCTGTACCAGCTTTCTCCTCTTCTCGCTTTTTAGCAGCTTCTTCTCTTTGTTGCCTTATTAGAGCCAAACGATCTGCAAACACGAGAGAAATCATCAATGGCTGGAAGGAATGGAAAAGAAAAAAGAAATAGTTTACCGACCCAAATCTTTTCTCGCTTGTTCGGTTTTGCCTTGCTCTTGCAGCCTCATGTACCGCTCATGGGCTCGCTGCTTCTCCAGTTCCTCTCTGTAAACAACGCAAAGATCGAAATGGATGGAACTGTGAGTGTTTATGACTGTTTCTTTCCCTTTACATCACGTTTTTCTTCCCATGTTCACAAAAGTAAGACAGACATATAGTAGAGTTCGGTAGACAAAAAACAGACCTTTCACGCCTTGAAAGTTCAGTGGTTTTACCGACCTGAGAATCGGGAGGAGAAGGATATGTCAGATACAAGATAACAGTAAGTACTAAGTATAAGCAGATCCGAAGAAATTGGCTGGAATAAAAAAACAAACTTACATCGAGGTCCCTGGCTTTTAAGGTCTTTGGTTTTGCTCGGTTAGGGTTTTCAACTTCAATCAGACTCTCATGCCCTTTCTTCTTCTTCTGGCATTGTATCAAGGTAAGATGTCATATCCAAGATCCAGTTTCTGTGCCCAAATAACTAGAAACTACAAAGGAAGAGAAGACACATGGTTTTTAACTAACTTCTCCATCGGAATCTTCCCCCGATTCCTCCTCTTCCACCTCCTCCTCCTTGTCTTCTTCTTGCTCACGTTCATACTCGGCTTCATCCTGAGAATGCCATCAAAGGCCATTGATCCGGCTATCAACCATACAATTCAAAGAACACACATAAACAGCACAGACGTAAAAGAACAAAGACCTGGGAGAATACCCGTTTGAATGATCGAGGACGTGCTGAAGATGTGCCAGCACCTGCATATTGATATCACAGAGATCAAAATATAATAATGAGTAGCTTCACAACAGAGAGAGAGGGACATTGCTGAACTCGAGAAAGGCAGCAGACACTAGACAGTGAAGTAATGAAGATAAAAAGAACAAAGACCAGAGGATAAAAGAAGCTCAAATGAAGATATTTTTCAAAGGGATGAACAAGAAGAGATCCCGGCAATACTTTACAAGCGCATCTTTCAATAGAACAGAGCTTGGTGAAAGCATAAAATTCAGTTAATCAAATACAGCTAAATCCATCAATACAGATAAACAGGCGGTAAAGATGATATGAAACTCCACAGATCAAAGCTCAAAGCTTTATGAAAGCATGACATCAAAATCCCACCAAATTGGACACGAAATCTCCGGCCTTAAGCTCATCCACGACAAACCCATATAGATAAACGCAGCAAACGAAAAAGACAGAGAAACCAGAACTTCCGATGAAATTCACTAAATCTAATTCCGATAAATCTACAGAACACAGAGAAATAGCAAACCTAAACCTCCTCTATGCTTTCTAAAGGGGTTCAAGAACATTCAACAGCCCTGTATTTGTAAAAGTGGAATGTTTTCTCAATAGTCCCCTATAAAACGATCCAAAAGCGAAAAATAATCTTACGCAAATCATCTGGATGAGAGAAGTGGCGTTGCCCAGTGGGCTTCCCCTTGAATTTGCCTCTCCCCATCGTTCAAAACCAAATGGTAACAAATCGAAGCAAAAGCCAAAAAAAAATTTAGGGCTTTTGATGATTGATCTCGAATCGATTCGAGATTTAAAAAGAAAAAAAAAAAGATGTGTCGTTTACGTGGCGGAGGTTCTCGTCCTCTTCCGACCAGGAGACGAAAACCCTAGCGCCCCTGTGGGATTTTTTTCAGATTCTTTGTTTGTGATTGGCAATACTACCGTGTGGGAAGTACACTGAAAGGTAGAACATAACTCTTTAGGATTTTGACACGTGGAAGTTAAATGCATGACGGCCGTCAGTTCGTTTTGCTTCAGTTTGATAGAACGACGTCGTACTTAGCCTGGAAGTTCCGCCCTTGACTGGAAATATCAAGATCGGATTGGAAATAGCAAAATCTCATGATTAAATAATTTCTTTGCCCCTTTCCAATTCCCCCTAATTTACCTCTTGGGTACAGTCTAGGGCTTCTGCAACGCTCCTCCAGGAGGCATCGATCTGCAAGTTACAGGTTTGCTCGATCCGGGATCTCATATTTCTGGTTAAAGTTTTAAATTTGGATCTTTGTCGAACTTTCTTTTTGTTTTGGCGAAAGCTGTGATTTTCGCTGTACGATTTGCCTGGTCGCGTTCTCTGCTTCTAATTTTATAAACTAGGGTTTGTTCTCGAATCCTGGGCAATTCGGAGATTAGCCGAAGATTTGGATTTTCGAGATTCAAGTACCAGTTAGCAATTGTGAAGATTGGTTGAAGTGTTTTTTATTTAGGTTGTGTTTGAGAATCGATGTTCTTTGTTGTACCTATAAATTGCGTGTGATGTCTTATCTTATCGAATCTCGCCTTGTCAATTTCTCAAATGGGTGTTGAAATTATCATCCAGTTCTTGTGCAGTATGAAGCATCTATGGTGTTGTGGTGGTGATTTCTCTCTTGATATATGAAATATTGATTATTTTTTTTTCGAATGAAAATAGGGGAAGAAGCTTAAACCATGGGAAAGAGGAAGTCAAGGGCAAAGCCTGCTCCTACAAAGCGGATGGACAAGCTTGATACAGTATTCAGCTGTCCCTTCTGCAACCATGGAACCAGTGTCGAATGCCGGATGTAATTCATCCAATCATTGAACTTTTTTTGTCTTTCGCATATTGGCATATGCTCGAATTTGATATTGGGATTGCATTGTGTTCAGTGATATGAAGAACTTGATCGGTGAAGCCTCTTGTAGAATCTGTCAAGAAAGCTTTAGCACTACTGTCACAGGTATTCTTGTTGGCAGTTGAAACTTCTTGATTAGCTTAATAGAGCCATGAAATTATATGCTTATAACTTGCCTGATTCATTTTTTCTTTTTTCTTTTCTCTAACAGCTCTGACCGAACCAATAGACATGTAAGTCCATCTACTATCATTCTCTGCCTAAATTTTTGTATCTGTTGATTTCGATTCATGGACTTGTATCCTTTTCAAACCGTTGCAGCTACAGCGAATGGATTGATGAATGTGAGAGGGTCAACACCATTGAAGACGAAGTCGAGCAAGAAGAGGAAGAAGAGGAGGAAGAAGATCACGTGCCTGTCAAGAGGAAGTACAACTATTGATCTCGTGTCTTTACCAATGTCTTCTTGTAAGTAAAACCTTAGATTCTCTTGGTGTTGCTTATGTGTTATAAAGGCGCATCTCTGCTACCTGATCTCTATCCTGATCTCTATCCATGTTAACAGTTAAAAACCACCACATTTGTCTTATGATGTTGCTTGTAAAACCAAAACCTGTGTTTAATGACTTAATCTTAAAAATGTCTCATCAGCTCATATCATTCCCTTTTTAGTTTCTGTTTTTGTTGAAATTTTCCGAAATATGTTAAGGTGAATCTTTCCGTACAGATAAAACAAAAAGACATTTAGGCCTTGTTTCCAGGTTCTTGTTCATTTTCCTTCGCACCCATCACCTTGAGTTGTTCCTGGTTGGCATCCATGGAATCCGATGCCTCGGCTCTGTATCTATAAAACCGAACCACGGCCAAGAACAGCACGAAGTTCACCAGATTCAGAACCACGAAGAACGTGTAATAATAATCGAGCCGGGATGCATTCAGATTGTTTAGAATCCAGCCTCTTCCACGTCTCTCCGTTATCTTCGATACTGTGGAGAGCAAGAAACTGCTCAGGAAGTTCCCGACAGCCAAAGTCGTGGTCGAATACGATGTCCCGAGACTCTTCATGCTCTCGGGCGCCTGGTCGTAGAAAAACTCGAGCTTTGCCACTTCAAGAAACGCGTCAGCCATACCCATCAACACAAACTGAGGGAGCAAGACGAAGATCGTCAAGGGCAGTGTTGACTTCGCCTGGTTAACGAGCCCGTGCTCTGCCGCGACCTTAAGCCTGTGCCGTTCGGTGAGACAAGCGACGGTCATGATGACAATGTGAAGGACGAGGCCGATGCCCATGCGTTGAAGGAGGGTGATGCCACGTGGATTTCCGGTGAGTTTTCTCATGATCTTGACGAAGAAACGGTCGTAGAGGACGATGGAGACGAGCATGGAGAAGGTGACAAAGGCGCCGAGACTGGCGGGAGGGATGCTGAAGCGAGGGGTGAGGCTCCGGTCGAGGGTGGTGCCTTGTTTCACGAAGAGGGTGTTGACTTGGGCGAGCATCACGCTCGGGACGAAAGTCACGAACAGGATGGGTAACATCCTCAGCATCTGTTTTGTCTCTTCCACTTCTGTCACTGTGCAGAGACTCCATTGGTGCGTTTGCTCTGTTTTCACCGAAGCTTTATCCAGGAATCTGCATCGAAATCGAATCTTTCATCAGAAACCCAATGGAACTAATCTGATATATATATATATATATATACATGTGTGTGTGTGTGTGTATCCGGACCTGAGAGAGGGAGTGGGTCGGATTATGAAGGCGTTTTTGGAGGCGTAATGTTCGAGGGGGAGTTCATGGAGGAGGGTTGTGTCGGAAGGTAAAGAAAGAGCGGATTTGCGAAGTGAAGCGACAAAGACACGTGCCATCTTCGTGAAAGGGCTGCCGGTTGGAACCTTATGCCTATAGAAAGGAGTTCCCAGCAAGAATATGGTAATGGAAATGGCAAGACCCATTGTCGGAAGACCATATCCCAATGCCCATCCCACGTTGTCCTGATTTTTCCAAAACCCATTTCATATAACAAACATATATCTCAAAATCAACGTTATATACATACATATATAGGTATACCTGGATGTAGACGAGGACAGTGTTGGCGAAGAGGGTGCCGAAGAAGATACTGAACATCCACCAGTTGAAGAAGGATAATTTGTGAGATTTTTCGACAGGGTGGAAGTCGTCGAACTGGTCGGCTCCGATGGTGGAAATGTTCGGTTTGGTGCCGCCTGTTCCGACGGCCAGTGTGTAGAGTGCGCCGAAGAAGACGGCCAGTTGCAACGTCGAAGCCTTCGGGCAGTCCTCAACGGTGCAAGCCGGTGGCTTCAGGCTCGGGAGTGATACTGATAACGTCAGCAGTAACATCCCCTGCATGAAAACGACGTCGTAACCCGATGCAGTTTCGACGGAATAAAAAATAATACTAAAATTTCTTATTAAATTTGATTTATTTTTCTATTGGTAAGGTCCACACGGCACTTGTTTGGTTGCGGGGATAACCCTAGACTACGCATGGTTCCTCAGAGTACGTCCAAGAAACCGCCGATATTCGATGAGCGGATAAAGACTAAACGACATTGGAAGACCAAACAACATGCAAGTTGGCACGTTTTGGTCTTCCTAACAATTAATTTTATTTTATTTTATCGATTTATTTGTTGGAATACTTTTTACGAAATTCATAAAATGACATGTGCTGACCAGGAGAAGATTCCACATTTATGAAATTAATATTATAATAATAATAATCATGTATCGGTGTATATTGTTTTTATCTAGAAATACAAAAACTTCAAAGTTGGGAATAATACGACCCACAACAACATCGTGATAACGAAATTTAGGTTGGACATTCATGTAGGCATGTATTTATATTGCGTGTGTGTGTACATATACACACATATATGTATGTATCGTGTGATTATATAATATATTATGACAATAATTTATATATGTCGATATGCGTGGAGGAAATGACATATGCATACCTGATACTATGATATACATAAGAACAACATGCTAACGTTTGACCTTTTTTCTTTTCTTTTTTTTTTCTGATGGGATCTTTAGGGTTGACATATTGACCCCAAAGTCGGATTTATTGGACCGCCTCTTATCTTTATCCTGTTTCGGAGATTTTTCTTCAGCTTCCACATATATATACACACCCACATATATACAAGTGAACTATAATTGCAGTGAATTTGGAGATAGATGGGTATTATGTATAATGGAATATTAGCAGTGAATTTGAACTATCAATTTTAATGGAATATTATGTATAAAGACATTAATATATATAGATATATAGTACGGAGATAGATGAGTGGTACGTACGTACCGAGAAATAGATAGCGCAAGAGATGACGAAGGTGAGGTAGCGTCCGAGGTGGGCGTCTGCCACGTAAGCACCCAAGATGGGAGTGAGCCAACTCGTTCCGACCCAGTTCGTCACGTTGTTCGCCGACTTCACCGTCCCCTGGTGCAGCTTCGTCGTCATGAATATCACCAGATTGCTCGATATCCCATAATACGCCATTCTCTCAAATATCTCATACACTGTATATTATATATATATATATATATATGCATCAGACAAAAAAAAAACACTGAAAATATTACGATTCTTGAATGAAAAATTATGAATCTTGACGTATAAATTTCCAATTTTAGTGGGATATGTCGCCATTAAAAAATAGAAAAAAAAAACTTTTTTTTTCCGCATCGAAGGAACATTTTGAGTTATCAAACTGCATACGAGCTTGAAGAAGGAAACAACTGTTTCAAGAGTGTAAGAAGAGATGACTATATATAAACTATATATATGGGATTGTCTCACCATATTTATGATTAAGCAGGTCTGTATTATCATCGATTAATTACGATTACTACTCAATAAGATTAATGGATTATATAACGTAATATATTAAAGGGCTTTATACGTACCGACAACAAAAGAGCAAGCTTTCCAGCCGCCTCTCTGGGATCTTCGGACACGATTTCCGTTAAGATCCACTGTTCCATCTCTCGTGTAATCGTCCACTGCTGCTTCTTCAACTGTCATGGCCTTTTTTCTTCCTTTTTTTTTTCTTGGTCTACTCTTTTTGGGAGCTGAGTCGTGGGGTTTCTTCTCGGCAATTATATATACACACACACACACACACACACACATATTTCAGCACTCTTGCGTCTTCGAAAATATATAATAGGAGATATTAATTACTTATTGATGTATTTCCTTTCTTGGTTTATATATATATTATTTATATTAGTCAAATAAGGGTTTTCTATTATTATATACTTTCATCTCTTACCTATATATATATATATATATATATATATATATATGTGGCCAAATAAGAGTGGGAAATCGTAGCTTTTGAGTGGAACACCGAATTTCTAAAAACGCAAGATTTTTCTTTCGTGAAAAAAAAAAACTTTTCTGCTTTGCAATTCTTGGTGAATATCCCGATTACTAAGAAAAACTACTTTTAAATCTTCACTTGTAAACTCTATTTTTTGTAGGTTAAGTAAATATAAGTAAATCTATTTTAACGCTAGAATGATTTTGACAACTTAACAAACCTTTCTTGGTGTTATTTTAATTAAACCTCCTTCGTAGTACGTGAAAACTAATCGGGAACCTCGATTAGAGTAGAGTGATTAATTGCTTAATCAATTCGCTAAACACAAGTGGGATTTAATTTTGTTGTTTGTAATGGTTTAGGATGCTTTTCGACCACCGTACAAATTCATGAAATAAAGGCCACTGGGTTTTGTTAATCAAAATTTTATAATGATTTTTTTTTTCTGTGAGACAGATATTTCTACGGACAGCCTGGGTTTCTCCGAATCTTTTGACTTGGAGGTGGAAAATAATTTTGCACGTTTATATTCATTATATATTGTTTTCAACCTGCGATATTGGGAAAAAAAAAATAATTTGCTACGAGACAAATAAAAAAAAATTCCGGTGCTGCTTTTTAATATTCAACCCGCAATAATATTTAGTTTATTTTATTTTATGTATAGATTGAATCGAGACCGCCCTCATTTCGCGTAATGCATGGTTCTGTTTTCCCTCTTTCTATCATATGTTATAGTTAACAACCATTTAAATAAATATCGTATATTTGTTAATATTGCATCTGGAAGAGATGCCGCCATATTCATGTGTTATTGATTTCTTGATAGCCAGGTTGGTCGGTATGTGTTAAATCGTGTCCATTGTTTTCGCTATATATTGTATCCAGCCGATACAATTAAATCCCGTGAATATATTTATATAGTCGTGTTCAGACATTTTTGGTGAAAGTGAGACACTGTGTTTTGTAATTTATAGGAAAAATACACGACAGCTTTTAAATAAATAAAAAAATGTATACAAATTATACATACTGTATGACATTGGACCGAGTAATTTATGTCACAAGGCCACGGCAGATACTGGCCTGTTTACATATTTTGATAAGTGGGCTGTCCATTTATTTCATTTAATAGGCTTCCAGGCCCATTTGTTACCGATCATTTCTTAAATTTCATGTATATAATATTGGGACCAAATGCCAGATTTCTTGTAATGAAATACCATAAAATACATTATTTAGACCCGCATTTTGTGTGCATAATATTTTTATTTAAATCGAGATTTTTTTATTAGTATTAATATATTTATTTAAAATCACGAGTTGTCTCATTCAACTTACAAACTAGATTAGCCGAATTAAGACTAAATATGTTGTAACTCATTTAAAAACGAGTCGAACCAAATCAAAATATTTTTTTTTTGAGATCTTAATAATCTAGACCGGACCGAACCAAACCGAATCGGTTTGTTCTACACCCAACCCAAAAATAACTCATGGAAATCAATCATAATTCGAATGATCCGGTGATCTATCGGAATTTGGGCCCATCAGCTATGGAACTTTTAATAGCAGGCCTTAATGGGCCTAAGCTTAAGATCCAAGGCCCAAATGTCCCGAAAAAGGCCAGAAGGCATGAGACCAGTGGAATGACAAAACTACCCCTGGTACCGCCGATGAAGCGCCCTCATACATAATATTGTACAGAACGGTTATTTTATAATTGTGTTCGCAGGTGTACCTCGCGTCCGAAGCCTCTTTGACGCGAATCTCTCACATCGCTCTTCTCTCTTTTTCTTTCCTCGGAAGTTTTTCGAGATGATGAGGATTTTTGGCCGAGGAGGGAAGGATTCTCCCTCCGGTTCGGCCTCTCCGTCGGCGGTATCATATTCTTCGTCGTCTTCTGCCCCGGCGGTGCCGTCTTCTGCGGTGACGGGGCCGGCGAGGCCGATCCGGCTCGTTTACTGTGATGAGAAGGGGAAGTTTCGGATGGATCCTGAGGCCGTTGCTACACTGCAACTCGTCAAGGAGCCAATTGGTGTTGTTTCTGTTTGTGGTCGAGCTCGACAGGGCAAGAGCTTCATCTTGAATCAGGTAGGGTTTTCGGATTCATTGAACGCGGTTTGGCAGTTTGACACTGAGTTTGGAGGACTGTTCGGCTTGTTTGCTTGGTTTGTTTTACCGAGTTTTGAGTCTAGTGTTTGTGATTTAGGATATGGGGTTTTTGTCAAATTAGGTTTTCTGCTTTACATTTCTGAGTTGGATTATTAGGCTTTGAATGATAAATTTCGGGAATTTTCAGATTGCAGTGATACAGAGCTACTGTTTTCCTTGCGAGCAAATAGGCATTGGTGTCAAGGATCCGTCTCCTAGACTCCTAGTTCTCCACGTCTTTTATGGTTCTTTTTAGCTGTAAAGAGTACTCTCTTAAGTCTTAACGTTTAGCATTTGTTGATGTTATCACTGCCTCACTGGAAAAACTACATTGGCTTTGGTTTGTCTGCGAAATGTACTGTCTTTATCCCACAACATTAGTGTATATGTTCTCCTTTTGAGCCTCATGATGGCTCTCTTTGCTGTTACATTTTTAAGTTATATTTTCTTTCCTGCTAAAACTTTACATCCACGCCTTCATTTTTAGCATGCATTTGGTTCTAAGTGAGCCATTCAATTGTTTGCTTTTCGTAGCTTCTTGGACGCAGCAGTGGATTTCAAGTAGCATCAACACACAAGCCTTGTACAAAGGGGCTTTGGCTGTGGAGTACTCCCCTGAGGAGAACAGCTCTTGATGGAACTGAGTACAATCTTTTGTTGTTAGATAGTGAAGGGATAGATGCATATGACCAGACGGTAAGTAAGGAGTTAAAATTCCAAGCTTGTTTGTGTTTCATGCTGGCATTTTTGTGGAAACTTTTGTTCCTCAGTTTTGGCTTGTCAAAGACTTATCATCTATTGCTTCTTTTATAGTTTCTTTCTGGCATAACGCAGCTCTCTCTTTGGCCTCAAATTTTATATACTGATTGTCTTTCTTTATCTTGTCGCAGGGTACATATAGCACCCAGATATTTTCGTTAGCAGTTCTTTTGTCTAGCATGTTCATATACAATCAGGTTGATACATCTTCCAACTTGAATTTGATTTTAGGATAAAATAAGCCCGTCCTGGGCAGTTTGCTTTTCTTCTTTATAATATTGTTTCCTGGTGCATCTCTTTTGATTTTATGTTAGATGGGAGGTATTGATGAAGCTGCACTCGATCGTCTCTCTCTTGTCACTGAAATGACAAAGCATATCCGTGTAAAAGCATCTGGAGGCAAGAGTTCTGCCTCCGAGCTTGGACAGTTCTCCCCCATCTTTGTCTGGCTCTTGAGGGTAATCTGTTTTGAATTGTTTGAACCTTGATTATGGAGATCAATAGTATATGTTTTGTTTGCAATGGAGTTTATTAACTGTAAGATATTTACTTGTAGGACTTTTATTTGGATCTAGTGGAGGATAACCATAAGATAACACCCCGTGATTATTTGGAACTTGCATTACGGCCTGTTCAAGGTAGGGGGAAGGACATTGCTGCTAAAAATGAGGTAATACTTGCATTTGCTCTTAGTTTTTCTAGTACGCTTAGTTGGTCTCCCATTTTGTGGTTTGATCCTCAATATTGCACTTGTGATTGACTATTGGTGAGCTGCCATAATATATTTTTAAAAGGTTGCTTGGACAGTTGGTTGTGTCATTATAATGAAATTCTTCTTTCTGGAATTCTTATTAGTCAATGTAAATGCAAATAAATGGTCTTTGCAGATCCGTGACTCCATTCGGGCGCTATTTCCAGATCGAGAGTGTTTCACTCTTGTGAGACCTTTGAGTAACGAACGGGAGCTCCAGAGACTTGATCAAATTTCGGTTAGTTTCCTTTTATGCATGTCCTGGCTGGTTTAATTTTCTGCTGTGACTGTTTTGGTCTTTATTTAACAGTTTGTTGTATACACTGAAATCCTTGCACTTCTCTAATCAGCTGGACAAATTGAGACCTGAATTCAGAGCTGGCTTGGATGCATTGACGAAGTTTGTTTTTGAGAGGACAAGACCCAAGCAGGTTGGGCCAACTGTGATGACAGGTCCTATTCTTGTTGGTGTTACTCAGTCGTATCTGGATGCTTTGAATAACGGGGCAGTGCCCACCATAACCTCCTCCTGGCAGGTTTGATCCCTCTTACCCTTGGAAATGTTTCTTTGTGGAAGAATTTCAGTCTAAAGCCAATACTAGCATAAGCATTTATTTTCTTGAATGGTATACAGAGATTCGAAGCTAGAAAAGGATAGTCGTGGATGCAGTCCGATTAGCTTCATGTGGAAACGACAATACGAACATGGTTTTCTGATAAATATAGAATGCTAAATTAATGGTTAAATGTGGTTGATTAAAAAAGTTTCGCTTTCTCGAGATTCTTTCATAGAGTTAGGGCGTTCATACTCTTTTGCACTTTAAACTTTATTGAGGTTCAGTTGGGATGTACCTAGTGATGCATTGTGAAGGTAGTCTGTTGCACATTCTTTCATACAATCACTGCTCTTACCTTGCTTTGTAGAGTGTTGAAGAGGCTGAGTGTCGAAGAGCTTATGATTCTGGTGCAGAAGCTTATATGTCTGCTTTTGACCATTCAAAGCCTCCTGAGGAAGTGAGTACTTTTTTTGTTTTTCTTATTAGTCTTAATTGCCGTATCATTTTCAAATGTTACTTACTTGTAGGGTATGCTGAGGGAAGCACATGAAGAAGCAATTCAAAAAGCCTTGGCTGTGTTTAATGCTGGTGCTGTAGGGGCTGGTTCAGCACGGAAAAAATATGAGGATCTCCTCCACAAGTTTTTCAAAAAGGCCTTTGAAGTAATGGGTTTGAAAACATATCGTTCAGCAAGAATTGGTTTTTCGTCTTATGAAGATAGTTTTGCTTTCTCGATCTTCGTATGTGTTGCTCTCTCTCATTGTGATTTGTTGATACCGACCATCTATTGCTGATCCAGGATTATAAAAGAAATGCTTTCATGGAGGCAGATTTGCGATGTAGAAGTACTATCCAGAGCATGGAAAAGCGGCTGAGAGCTGCTTGCCATGCCTCTGATGCCAGTATAGATAATGTTGTTAAGGTAAGCTATCAATTATTAAACTTCTGGTTGTTTTTTTGGTCTCCAAATGAACCACCATATGTTATCAGTTCATACATATGTTATCAGTGCATGTATGTGTATTCTAAAATTTGAATGGGTAAATTCAGCCATTAGGGGAACGTGTTATTCATTTCAATATACTGTGTGGCAGGTATTAGAAGCTCTTTTCTCAGAGTATGATGCATCCTGTCATGGCCCAGGAAAATGGCAGAAACTTGCTGTTTTCTTGCAACAAAGGTTTTTCTACCATTTATACCCCACTGATTTTCGTTTACATTTAGGTGTGTTAGTTGATGTATTTCAAGTCTTTTTTTCTGACTTGTTTGATCCTGTTTAAACATGCAGCTTGGAAGGCCCAATATATGATCTCACCAAAAGGCTTATAGATAACATTGCTTCAGAGAAGAGTTCCCTTGTGTTGAAATGCCGTTCTATTGAAGATAAGATGAAGCTACTTAGCAAGCAATTGGAGGATAGCGAGAAATACAAATCAGAGTACCAGAAGCGTTATGATGATGCCATCAATGATAAGAGGAAGCTGGCAGATGAATATACAAACCGCATAACTAATCTGCAGGGTGATAACAGTTCACTGAAGGAGCGATGTTCTGCTCTGTTGAAAACCCTGGATTCTGCCAAACAAGACATTACAGAGTGGAAAAGAAAATATGACCAGATTGTTTTGAAGCAGAAAGCGGTTGAAGATCAGGTTAATTCAGAAATTGAAGTTCTCAGGTCACGCAGTACATCAGCTGAAGCTAGGCTTGCTGCAGCTAGGGAACAGGCAAAGTCCGCTCAAGAGGAGACAGCTGAATGGAAAAGGAAGTACGAGTTTGCTGTTAGAGAGGCGAAATCTGCTCTGGAGAAAGCTGCCTCAGTGCAAGAGCGTTCAAGCAAGGAAACACAATTGAGGGAAGATTCTCTTAGGGAGGAATTTAATTGCACATTGGTTGAAAAGGTTACCTCTCTCTCTCTCTCTCTCTCTCTCTCTCTCTCTGTGTCCTTTTTTTAACTGTTGTTGTGGACAAGTCTCTGTTAGGTTTCTATCTGGGACTGTTGATCAATTTACTGTTATTGAAATGCAGGAAGAGGAAATAAGGGAGAAGGCAACAAAACTTGAGCAAGCTGAGCAGACCTTGACCACTCTAAGACTAGAATTGAAGGTGCAATTCTTGGAATACAACATTTCTATTTATTTTACTCTTCCTGATTATCCCGCGCCCGTATAATTGTTCCCTTGTGTATGCATCTGCCTATTCCATTATTCTCCCAAATCTTTTTTTGCATATGTAAAAAAAGATTTCTTTTTAAGCAAACTGTGCATATTTCTAATTTTGAATGGTGCACAAATATATCAATGTACAGCATACATGTGCATGTATATGTGACCGTGTGTTGTGTTTAAGGCCGTTGGATCAGTTGAGCATTTTTTGAACGTGTGTCTTAGGTTTATGTGATTTTATCCTTTTGCAGGCAGCGGAGTCAAAGCTCAAAAGCTTTGATGTAGAGACATCATCATTGAAGCTAGAAATTAGGGAGTTGGTTGATAAGTTAGAAAGTGCAAACACCAAGGCTCTATCATACGAGCAAGAGGCTAAAATATTAGAACAGGAGAAAATCCATCTGGAGGAAAAGTACCGGTCTGAGTTCCAAAGATTCGATGAAGTCCAAGAGAGATGTGTGAGTGACACTATTTTCGTCTTTTCACTTAATTACGTTATCATTCACTGTGTTATATCGACGTGTTAGACACATTCAACATATATATATAAAATTGCATTTGATAGCTTAGATTAGAACGGAGCTCGGGCTGAAGCTGCCACTGCCCAGAAGGAGAAGAACGAGATTCAGAAACTGGCAATCGAAAGACTAGCCAAGATCGAACGAGCTGAGAGGCAAATGGAGAATCTAAAGAGACAGAAAACTGATCTGGAGGACGAGTTGGACAGACTACGTGTATCCGAGATGGACGCTGTCTCGAAAGTAGCTGTTCTTGAGGCGAGAGTTGAGGAACGAGAGAAAGAAATCGAGTCATTGTTGAAGACGAGTAATGAGCAGAGGGCTCACAATGTGAAGTCACTGGAGAAGCTATTGGACGAAGAAAGGAAGGCACATATAGCTGCGAATAGAAGAGCCGAAGGTCTTTCACTCGAGCTGCAAGCTGCACAGGCGAACCTTGATCAGCTTCAACAAGAACTTGCACAAGCGAGGTTGAAAGAATCGGCATTAGACAACAAAATCAGGGCGTCGGCTTCAACACGTGGCAAGCGGACAAGAACAGAGGAATATGATGACGTTGAGATGGTTGGTGTCGGATCAGAAATGGAAAGTAGCGAAAGAATCATTAGGTCAATTAAAAAAACCCGAACGATCATCAATACCACGACCCAGACAGGGGAGGATGGTGAAGAGGACAACCAAAGCCAGCAGCAAAACAATGGTGAAGAGGAGGATTACAAGAAGTTCACAGTGCAGAAACTGAAACAGGAACTGACAAAGCACGATTTCGGGCATTTGCTGCTGAACAGAGGTGAACTAAGCAAGAATTGTTTTTGATTTCTTCTGCAATTTCGGGCATTTGCGGCTGAACCGAGGTAACCTAAGCAAGAAAGAGATCCTCGCTTTGTACGAAAAGCACGTTCTTCGGAAATCTTGAGTTCCCGTACAGTAGTATATACGTAACATGTCCTTTGATATACGAGTTTCGGTCGGTAGAGATTTAGGAAATGGAATCTGATTTAGGAAGCCAAGCCCCCCAGGCTTGGGTATAATAGTGTACCGGGTTTCATGTGAGAGTGTCTCTTGTCTTTTCTTGGGTATTGTGATGATGTGGCTTTTAATGATCTGGTTGGTTTTTGATGTTTATGTTTTCTGAGTTCGGACCTTTGGTTTTTTGTTTTCGTTCTGAGTGTTTTGTCAAAGCTATTTGTTTGACAGTTCTAATTGGACAATGTAATATTATATTTGTTGACATTGATCTCTCTATTGGCCTTCTTATTTTTTTTTAAAACTATATTGTTCTTCTATAATAGACTCTATAACGTTTTCTTTCGATTTTCTCATTTTAAGTAGTTGGAACTTGGAAACATGTATCATGCAAGCTAAGAGATAATTTGCCGACGAGTCTATGACAAAATTAAATTCTCTCTTTTTAGGTTAAAAAAAAAGGGAAAAATTATTTATTTGTATGTACTTTCTTGTGATTGTGTCACGTCGGATAATTTCAAGGCCAATTATAGTTTTTTTCTATTCGAAAAAAATACGCAATAATAAAATGACTTGAAAATTTTACCGGATGGAGACGAGACGGTGAGATGGAAGCTCGATTGGTCAAGAATGCATTCTCGGCCTCAGGCCATCCGCTCCGAAGATAAGATGGGCCCCACAGTCATCCCCTCTCAGCCCATAATCTTATCTAAGCACATCGTAGAACGTAGCACGCTCTCCATCCAACGGCTCACGCTCTTCTACCACACTGGTCTGCGTCACATGGGATAGCTGCTCTTGTGGCTTTGGCCATAGCAGAAAGCATAATAACCGTCCGATCACGCAATAGCTACTCTTCAAATACGCGAAAACACCATATTTCGCTTCCCTCATCATCTCACTGTCAGATATTTTGTCGAATCACCATCACCGTCGTCGTCATGGAGTCACGCGTGCTCTCACGCGCCGCCGCAACCGTCGCCGGGTCTCCGTTCCTCAGACGGATCCATCGCCCTCACAACCACCACGTCCCCACCACAGTGACTTTCCCGGCGGCGGTCTGTGACGGCGGCAACGTGATCTCCGGCCGACAGCTCCGCCCGATCCTGCTTCTGGAGAGCTCCTCCGCGGCAGCGGTCTCAGACGGTGGGAGGAGAGAGATTCTCCGGCCGCCGCGAGCTGCCGCTTCGTCGTCCGCCGGGAGTGGGAATTCCGCCGGGTAAAGTCCGTCCGTCTCCTCCGTTATGACTCGGCGGAATGAGTTCGGGTGACTGACTCGTCCGAGTCGGTGTGTGTTTATTTGGCAGGGAAGCGAAGGTGGGGTTCTTCGACAAGTACCCGGCGCTCGTCACCGGCTTCTTCTTCTTCATGTGGTACGTGTAGCTCACGCGCTTCCACTCCTTGTTTACCGCCAAAACTCGGTAACTGAAGGATCGTGAGATTACGGTTTTACCCCTTTGAATTTGCAGGTACTTCTTGAACGTGATATTCAACATCCTCAACAAGAAGATTTACAATTATTTCCCTTACCCCTAGTGAGTGACACTATTTTCGTCTTTTCACTTAATTACGTTATCATTCACTGTGTTATATCGACGTGTTAGACACATTCAACATATATATATAAAATTGCATTTGATAGCTTAGATTAGATTTATCATAATAATTAATATATATATATATATATGACGGAACCATATTATTCTGTGATATGGACCAATGAGAATGAGAATTGAGGCCATCTATAAAGAGAAATATTCCCTTTTTGTTGTTTGCAGTTTCGTATCGCTTATTCACTTGTTCGTTGGAGTCGTCTATTGCTTAGTGAGCTGGGCTGTGGGCCTTCCTAAACGGGCCGTGAGTTCCTCTCTTCAAAGCCCATTTCCATTCCATTACTCTCTTCTCTTTTCCATTTTTACCATTATTATTTTTTTTAATTCCAGTTTCTAACACGACAAGGTTTTATAGCTTATATGACATACAATGCAACAATCATGTGATAACAATGTCCCTCCGGTTCTTGTTTTGCAAACATTACGAGTTATAACTTGTTGTAGATGTGGAATATCCTGTTTAGACTGAGAACTTCTTCTCTATAATATGAATATTCAATCTGCAATTTTCCTCCATTGGTGCCTGCTTGTTCTATTTGGGTTCAAATGGTATGAAACTGAGCTGTGATCAATTGTTCATCTTTCGAAGGTTCTTATATTGAGTTTATTACTCTTGTCTCTGCTCCCAGCCGATAGACGCGAACCTACTGAAGGTGTTGATACCAGTGGCGGTCTGTCACGCCATTGGCCATGTGACCAGTAACGTCTCCTTCGCTGCCGTTGCTGTTTCCTTCACTCACACCATCAAAGGTATGATCCATCTTTTTTTTTTTAACACAAATGGGTATTATTAAGTTCCATGAATCATATTTCTTCTTCTGATATCGGAGTTTTATCCTTCTGAAATGCAGCTCTCGAGCCGTTCTTCAATGCTTCTGCTTCGCAGTTCATACTCGGACAGCCTATCCCTATCACATTGTGGCTCTCTCTTGCTCCTGTCGTCCTCGGTACCTAACCTTTTCTTCCTTATTGTTCTCGTGTTTGACATGTTAGTTTCAATGGCCGGAAGATTTGAGCTTTTCTGTTGAACCTAACCCGAAATGCAGGAGTTTCCATGGCTTCCTTGACCGAGCTCTCATTCAACTGGACTGGTTTCATCAGTGCCATGATTTCCAACATCTCTTTCACATACAGAAGCATCTATTCCAAGAAAGCCATGGTGATTTCCATCTTTCCCATTTTAGAACTGTTTGTTGTTGTTCTATGTAAAACATGAAATGTTGGATGTCTTCTAATGCTCTTTTTTTTCATTCCATTTTTTTTGAGATAGACTGATATGGACAGCACGAACGTGTACGCTTACATCTCCATCATCGCGCTCTTTGTCTGCATTCCTCCCGCCGTCATCGTAAGTATACATAGGAATATAGTTTTTTCTGATTATAAGAAACAACAATATGATTTATATATATTTTGGCACTTGTTGTAGGTTGAAGGGCCTCAATTGCTGAAACACGGATTCAGCGAAGCAATTGCCAAAGTGGGTATGACCAAATTCATATCTGATCTCTTCTGGGTCGGAATGTTTTACCACCTCTACAACCAGGTAAGCCAATATGTGCCTTCCTCAAGAAAGTGTGGACTGAACTTTGTCAACTATTATGTAAAACTGAAATTCACATCTTGAAACTTTAATGCAGCTGGCTACCAACACCTTGGAGAGGGTTGCACCGCTGACTCATGCGGTTGGGAACGTTCTGAAACGTGTTTTCGTGATCGGTTTCTCAATCATAGTCTTCGGTATGCTATAATTCTCTCAGTCTCTTCAATCCTGTAATGTTGTTTTTGCCTCCGAAATTCTTACCGTTTTACAAAAGAAACGGCCTTTCGAACTTATATATATGTGTTGGTTGATTGTTTATGATGCAGGAAACAAGATTTCTACTCAAACTGGAATAGGGACATGCATAGCCATAGCTGGAGTTGCCATGTACTCTTTGATTAAGGCCAGGTTGGAAGAAGAGAAACGGGTCAGTTCTTCCGGCTTTGTATTACGTTACGAATCATGCAAACGCATATGAATTGATACCAATGTTGTCGAGTTATCTTTTTGGTTTCATCAGAAAGGAAAGGCTGCATAGAGAGCCAAAGCGAGAGGAGGAGGAGGAGGAGGAGGAGGAGCCATGATCTTTTGTTTGGGTATAAATAATAACGAAATGCAATGTTGGAAATTGTATTACCATTGTTTCTTTTTAATCTTATTTTTGCTTTTTGTTTTTTTTTTAAAGAACCGTTCAATTGCGTTGGCTATCTCTAATCTGCCGAAATCATAATAATGTATCTATTTGCCATTCTCTTTAAACAAGCCCTTTCACTTCTTCTAGCCCTATCGCATATTATATTATATATATATATATATATATATATTGTAAAAAGAGTGAGCCAAAATCCGTATGAAAGAATCATTTCAGCAGTTGTGTTGTTGGATTATATTCATTAGATCTAAAAAACAGCAGTTTCAAAACCTATGAGATCTAAAAACATTATAGAGATTGTCATAAACTTCCACTAGAACCCAACCAAAAAAAAAGAGAGTCAAGAACCTAAGACATTACGGTACAACATCAAGTAGAAGAACATAGAGAGAGCAAGGGGGAGAAAGATCACTATTCGCTTGGGCGCCCTGGCATCAAACCCGTCGCATCCCTCTTCGACAATAGTCTCCAGCTTAGGCAAGCTCGAGAAATTCTGCTGCTGCTTCTGTTGATAGACAATCACCGACGGTGCCACCTCCCCCCACGCTCTCACAAATCTCATTTCCTTCACCATTTTCTTTTTCAAAAAAAGTACGGTTTATGGGTCTGAAGGAAATGCAGATTTGTTTTTGTTGGGAATTAGGGTTCTTTTGTGGGGAGAGAGGAAGATGAATATATTTCGATGGATGGATGTAGCAAATGAAGAGAGTTTAAATAGAGATACTGAAAACATGTGAACATTTTTTTTGTTATAATGCTAACTTTAGAGGTGCTAAAGATAGATACAAAGACCCAAGTAAACCAATATCTTAATTTAGGGTTTTCAGGTCAATAATGGTCAAAACAGAACTTGCCTATATCTGTATTATCTTTAGAAGACGACAAAAACCCACATGTGGTTCTGCCTGTTCCATGCAGAAAACCAGTTGAAGAACTACTTCCCCTTTTAAATGACAGATGAACATCGGTACGGTCATAAAACAGAGAGGTATGGTTGTAAACCTCGGAACAGGAAAGGGAAAACGAAACAAAACTAGTTCAGTTTATCAGGGTCTGAGTTGCAGAGGACATACTGTGGGGTGGCCGTGTCTCAAACTCAAGCAATGTGCTGAGCCAAAGTAAGGATCTTGACGTGTTTTTTCTTGCGGAGCTCGTGAGGGACAGGACCGAACACTCGGGTACCGATTGGTTGGCCTTGCTTGTCGACGAGAACCACAGCATTGTCGTCAAACTTAACCTCACTCCCATCAACACGCCCTCTCTGCATGGCAGCTCGTACGACGACTCCATAAACGACTTTCCCTTTCTTCACTTTCCCGTTCGGCATTGCTTCTTTGACAGATGCAACGATTGTGTCGCCTAATCTCGCACCTTTCTTTCCCTTCAAGGATTGGATGCACATCACCTTCTTCGCTCCCGAGTTGTCCACAACTTTGAGTACTGTCCTCATTTGGATGAATGTTCTTTGCTGCTGTAATGAGGAAACAATTCAAAATATCGTTTGGGGTTTTTTCTTGAAATGGGAATATAACCGAAAGCTTATATCATGTTCAGCCTAAGGAACCATTTGATGGTAATTTATCTGGATGTCTGAAAGAAAAACCTAATTTTTTCCATTAACTATGGAATAAGCCCAATTTTCACATATTTAATATTTTAATTGACAGAGAAGGGGTCTGACCTGAGAGAGAATGCTGCCATTCATCACCCCACTCAAGGAGTTACTCAAGCCAGATAATGCATTGGTTAGACCTCCAAGCAATGATCGTCCAGCTAAATTCCATCAAAATACATGAACTTAATGATACTAACAACAACAAAAAACCGATAGATAGCAGAGTAACATTTTCAACAAATACAAGGTTTGATGGAGGTCAAACAGAAATCGATTTGATGTTCTCCAGGATCTGATTTTTTTTCCTAACGCCAAGCTAAGTTCAAGAACCAAAAACCCCCATGGCTTTAGACAATTTGAAACTAAATCTACGAGAAAAAACACAAAAAAAGGATTTGATCTCATTCTCAGACTTCAATTCTAAGCACATCGATTGCTGAAACTACAGGAAACCTAAAGATATCAGCAGATACAACAAGCCGAAACTATCCCAAGGACAACAATATCAATTAATAAAATAAACCCAGAATCCCTAGACCCAAAAACGATAAGGGCTCGAACAAGGCACGGATGGATACTGGTTAAAAGAAACCGCGAGAAAGATCCACAAGTACCTGGAGAGAATCTGGAAGAGAAAGCTGCCGCCATTTCTGCAATTTTATGGTGTCAATCTCAACACCCACAATCACAAACAAATCAATTGGAGACACAGAGAGAGAGAGAGAATATAGCTTAGGGAGATCAATCAGAAAATATATGACGGTGACGACTGCCGAGGTAAAATCTATAACAGAACGGGGTAAAATCTAAGTGCAAGTTTTTGGCTATTATGTGATCCGATGCAGTGTACAGTTATCCACAGATTAAAGCTGAACACATCTGAACCGAATCAAACGGATAGAAAGTCCCATCTGAATTAGCAAGCATATGAAATTGTAATGAATGTGATGCCAGAGTGAACAAGAACGCCTCCTCCGAATTCAGTACAAACGCTTTTAATTACTCAGAGGGTAACAAACAATTCCATGGCAGCGAAGCAGAACCCTGTGAAAGTCGCTTAATTCTAAAGGCTAGGAAGTAAACTCACTACATTGTCCCTTAAAGTACTGTCTCATATTATAGTAGAAATCAAACGAGCTAGAAATCGAAAACGAAATCGACAGAGAAAGATACGAACTCACGAATTCTCAGGAAGGCAACGCCGAATACGGTGACGACTGACAAGCTCGGAGATGATGACGGAAAGACGAAATCGGCGGTGGGCCGGTGACAGTACGAGATCGAGAGAGAAAGAGGAGAGTTTTCGAAAATGAAATAAGGGTTTCAATAAACCCTTGAAAAAAATAAAAAAGTAAATTTGTGACTCAGTTAGGGGTATAATAGTCAAAGCAGAAACCTTTTGGGCCTAAACTATGCAACCTTTCTCGGCCCATACATCATTTTATTCGTCCATATCTATATTTTTTTAATATTTAAAAAAAAATTGTATCCCTCCCGTTTCTGCCTAAATAAGTAATTAAACCATGCTTGAATTATTTATATCTAAGATCACTTGAATGGTTTTTCATATATTACTACCAGCTTATTTGGCTATCAATTTTTTTTTAAAAAAAAATCGGATGAGAATCCAAATAAAATATTATAAACTGCATTTGAAGTCATTAATTATATACAAGATGGCACATCAAATAATATTTTCCACTATTAATGGTAACAAAGAATTCCATGGCAATGAAGCAGAACCTCTTGAAGAAGACAGAAGAGAAGCATAATGCCATATGCCTGAAAGAAGAACACATCCAAAGCAGCAGGCAGCCATAGTTTGACAGAAAATCCGACCAAGAACAGGTTTTCCGGTCTATCCATTTCTCCACCAGCTCGAATCATAAAGGAAATCAACAAGACAGCGTGTGAAGGTTTCCAATCTGTATTATTGCTTTACGGATCAAAAGCATAACCGAATGCCGATTTTTTTTTAAAAAAAAATGATGGGCAATCATAAGATACAGGAGTTACCTCTGTTCTAGGCCTCTAGCTGATCCCTGTTCATACAAAGAAGTAGTCCTTGTCCATCACGCGCCGCGCCTAGTGCTTCGGGATGATTCCGCCCTCCGTTTCTACCCCAAGCTCGATGCGGAGAAGCTTTTCAACACATGGGTAGGAGGAGAGTGACGGCCCAATGCCTGGAGCGACCCGACCAGACGGAAGACGGAGGAGGACATGACGCAACCGACATGGACGGCGACGGAGGGAATGGAGCCGAGGGCCTTTTGACGAGGAGGAGTCGATCCATCTCTAGGGTTCGGGGTTGGGGGATGGATTCAAACTGGACAGAGAATCACAGCCATGGTTGGGGGAAATCTGGAGCCAGGGGGAGGTCTGTAGAGAGAGAGAGAAGGAATCTAGAGAGAGAGAGAGAGAGAAAAGAGAAGGTCGCCATGCGTGAACGCGAGGGAGAGGAAAATAAAGTGGCCAATCAAAACAAGGATTATTTCAACTTATGATACAAAAACTACATCAAAAGAAATTTGTATTTGGCAGCTTAACATAATGAAATAGTGGTTTCAATTACATAATCAACTCCTAAAAAATCGTCCAAATGGACCGACAAGACCTTAAAATAGAAATTTTCTCAATTATATAAACACTTGAAAAAACCAAGACCCCGTGGGAATCTGAGAGAGAGAGCACAAAAATCCCCCTTATGAACAAACCAAGTATGCTCTCCACAAGTTCATCAAAAGTTTATGAACAAGCAAGAAGATGACCAAAAGGGTCAAGGAGAATGATCAGAGTTGAAAGAACAGAAAAGGAAATGCTAATAAGGCATATCCTCTAGCAGAAGAATGAGATGATAAATAGCTACTCCCTTGGACGATTCTTAGATTTTAAGGCAGAAAACAAGAAAATTATGGCATCAGAAAATGATCAACACAGCCAGTAAACCAACACATAATAACTGAGTGGACTGAGGGACAAAAGCAGAGATCCTGTTCCACATTCAGAGAACAAGCAAAAGCTTGATGTTATGAGACAAGAAGTATATCTTTTGAATGGACAGCTCAGCTTGCCAGGAGAGAGAGGAAATGGTCCTAAAAGAGAGTGAGATGTCCTAGGACTGAGAACAAACTGACAGAACAGAGAGGGAAGTTTATATAACAGCTGCAAATCCTCCTACATGAGCTTGACGGGCATTGTTAAGGGGAAGAAAGCATGAGGGAAAAACCCAGTTGAAAGATCTCATCAAGATCTAGAGAGAAACACATTTTTCGGGGAAAGATTTCACAGGACTTGTTAAAAAGCCGGTAAACTTCAAGAACGACCCGCTCATACCCAGTATTCAGGTGGCCATAATAAAAGCTTGGACCAATCTCTCAGCAGTATGCTTTTGTTCGGGGGTGCCGGAAATAAGAGCAATGCGGTCACCATGTGAAGATTTGGAATCAGAAATTTCTATCATGGCTCCTGATATCTGAGAGACAACATAACATGTTAATGTCATTCGAGAGAGACCGAGAGTGGATGGATGTGAGGAAGAGGGGGCAAAGACATGGGAGTGAGTGTGATGATCAGACAACAATAAATCTGGTTTGGCTGGAGTTAAGGAATAAGATCAAAATTCAGAACAAACCGTTCTTATGTTGACCAAGTTGGCTCCTCGTTTACCCATTACTTTACCAACAGCATTAGCCGGGATTAGAATCTCCAAGGTAGGTTGAGATAACCTGCAGAAATCCGAGTTAACTGGCAGCGAAAAGACTTCAATAATATGCAAAATGAAAAAGAAGAAAACTTACCCTTCAAAAAACTTGGATGAGTAAGAAGGGATGGATCCAAAACCATTTTCTCCTGTCTGTTCATCACAAACCATTTTATGAGTATCGCATTGACAAGACAGAACAGTTAGAACAATAAACACCACAGTGAGAACTATTTCTTGAAAAACAAAGCACCCAAAAAAGAAAAAAGAAAAAAGAAAAAGAAACCTAAATTCCAAGGAAAAATCAATGACAGTGCTATAATTAACAACTACAGGTATGAACTGATTCAATGTCTACAAAAGAAGTGATGTTACCGGCAGACATCCATAACCATACAGACCACCTGAAGGAAGTACTCCAAAGCCACTTCCTGTTTCTGGTCTCCGATCAAAACCTAATGGAGCAACTTGTGGAGCAGAAGGCAAGAGAGATGGAACCGCAAGACCAGCAGTACTACCAGAGAAGAGATTATTATCAGACGCGGCAGAAGGTTTCCGAGCACTACCATCCCTATCTCTTAAAACATCATCTCGGAGTCTCAAAACAATCTGAATGAGTGCATCTCTCACAGGGCTGACCTCACCAGATACCTACGGGATTAGAAGAATAAAAAAAATGAAGATGGAGATTTAAGAACCAAACAAAACAAGAGAAAGAATTCACATTTTTCGACGAATAAGACCTCTACGAGCTCATCACGGGTGTCAGCGCACTTAGGCTTACTCCCTTTCGAGATATGGATATCAGCTCTGGTCGTTTTCCTGATCTCACTTATGATTGATCCACTTTTTCCTATAATGCATCCAATAACCTTGGATGGGACAAGGAGCCGCATTTTAACATTCTCTTCATCCTCATCATTAATTTTCTCTTGAAGAAGAAGAATAGATTCAACGGCCATAGATTTCAAATCATCAGGAGACTGCAGAAAACAAGAAAAGGGTATCAAACATCCAATTTAAACGCTGGTAGTGTACTCCATATGGAAAAGGATAACCGTATCAAGCAGTCTACACCAAAATATAGCATAGACAAAGTCTTCTTGACAGCTGAAAAATGGCTGAATTGAACCAAGAGGAGAATATTCATAAATCAATCAGAGTGTAACCAAACCTCTGTAGCCGTGATAGTGATCAGACACTCATCACGATCTGTCTTTGTGTCATTAACCTCAATATGAGCACCACTTGCTTGTCTTATACCCTTAATGGTAGATCCTCCCTTCCCAATAACACGGCCAATATTGGGAAAAGGGCACAAAACCTTTAAAATCAACTCTTCTGATCTAGCAGGCCCACCAAAGCCAGGTACCACAGGAAAACCAGAAGAAAAAACAGGAAGTTGATTCACAGAAGTTTCTGCGCAACCCTGAAGGTCAGAAACAGGTAGTGAACCGAGAAGAGCCGGAACACCGGCTCTATGTTGGAGGATAGGATCCTGGTTTTGGTATAAGCTAGTTTGAGGATAAATAGAAACATCTGATGGGATTATAATACTAGCTGGAACTTCTTGGACAATAGTATCCAGAGGAATCTGTTCTCGAGGACTAAATTTGTACATGATAGCCGAGATGGCAGAAAGTGCTTTCTTCACTGACTCTGGCTCACCAGATATCTGTGGACAGAAGAAGGGTCAAGACAGGTAAGATTCAGGAGAGAAAAAACAAAACTTTAAGAAAATTAAAATAAGATGAACAATACCCTTTCTGAGCTAAAATCATTATATCCTAACAGAATGCAATTTCAAATACTAACCAGAACAAAGTTGTCAAAATCCATAGCACAAGAGTGCATCGGTTCAGACGCATCCTTGGAGACAACCTTAACAGTTGCCCTAGTCTTACTCCTAATCCTCTTTATCGTGGATCCAGCCTTACCAATCACGTTGGAAGATTGGCTAGACGGAACGAGAATACGGCATTCTTTCTTGTCATCTCTCTCTATTCTAATATTCTCTGCAGCAGTAGCTAAAGAATTCACAATTGCCTCATGAACTTTCAAAAGAGCATCTTGAGCAGAACACAGAGGCTCATTGCAATGAAGCTCCCCCTCTATGTCAATCTCTTTCTTCTCCTTAACTGAGCAATATATAGCAATGACCCTTTCACTACAACCAGGAAAAGGGTCCAGCACTTTGATTCTCGCTCTCGTTTCTTGCCTAATTGCGTTTATGACTTTCCCGCTTTTTCCAATAACACTTCCAATGACGCCATCAGGGCATAGAATTCTGTAAGCCACAAGCTCATCATTACTAATCTTCTCATCTTTGTCGAATGAAACTCGCCTCTTCTGATACCTGTTGTCCTCATTGTTCTCTCTCTGAGAAAAGGCACGCTTCCCGCGCTTAACCATGGTCAAGGTAGAAAATTAGAACCTGAAAGAGAGTAATTGTTGAAGATTAAGCACCAGCCGACAGAATTGCAAACTCACACAGGAGATGAACAGTGGAAGATGCGAAAAACAGGTAAAGGGTATAGAATAAACCAATAAAATTAGGGGGGGGGGAACGAATACTTAGCAGCAACAAACCGAAGAGAAACGAAGCATAGAGTAATTGTGGAAGACAAGAACCCTAGAATCTCAAACATAAACGGACATCTGAAATTGGGTAGATTGGAAAGTCGAAATTCAAAAGGGGTTTTGTTCGAGCCAAATCCAATTTGGACAAAAGTATAGTCCAGACACAAAACAGACACGAAACCATATGTTTGCAAAACCCACAAGTAGAAAAACCGGGAAGAAAAAGATACGAGAATTGCATTTACAGAGAATCTTCGAGGTAAGAAGAACAATAACCAACCAAGAATATCAACGAGATACCGATCGGAGAAAGTCTCACGAGAAGAAGGGGTGTTCTTCTTCTTCTCCTTTTTTTTGGTTCTTGAAGAGGAGAGGAATGCTTCCGATAGACGAAGGAAGAAAGACGGAAATAGGGTTTAAAGAGAATCGGATTCTTTACTCGATTCAGTTAATTTAGGCTATTAATTCTTAAAAAGTCCCCAACTTTCATTTAATTCGTAATAAACCCCACTTTCTCAAAATCTACAATTAGTCCCCTTTCGTTGTATTAGCATAATTTTTATGATTTCCCTGAAAAATGTGTTACTAATTACCTGAAATTGGCAGAGAAAAAAAAAAGAGAGAGAGAATAAAAGCAATAGGGACAAGAAATAGGATTTTCAAGAAATAGGGTGTCAAGGCTACAATTTCCAATCTTATGAATAAATATTGCCACTTTAGCGGCTTTTCCCCAAAGAGGAAGCCTCTGAACGACACAGATGCTTCTCAGCCTTGGGATTCTTCTTCTTCTTCTTAGGTTGGTTCTTCTTTATTCTCGCTCTAATCGGAATCGAAGCTTGAAGACCCTAGTTTTTGGTATCTGGGTGAACCCTTTTTTCATGCTTTTGATTGCTCTAGGGCTTATGAATCTAATTCGTTTTAGATTCTCTTCTGGGCATTGTGAATCTAGGTTTTTCCCCCCTTGTTAGCGTCGCTTGATTCGAAGTTCTTAATCTAGGGATATTGTTTTCCCTGGAAGAAAAAAAAGTAAGCTTTTGCTCCACAAGAGTTTAAGGATTCTGAAATTAGCGATATTTGTTGTCGAATCCTCTGGTCTCAGGTTTAGGCTTGAATTAAGGAATCTCTGAACTGTAAATTTAAACATCAGAGTAGGTTAGCGTAGGGCACATAGCCGTTGACAATGATGAACCATCTTTGCATGATGGGGTCTACTGGTTTAATTTAACCCGGTTTAGGGTTTCTGCAAATGCCCTGATGCCTCAAAACTGGATTCTTGCAACTGATCCAATATCCCAAATTTAAAAAAGATTCAAACTTTGGTTATGCAATGTTTATCGATGAGAGATTCTCGGGTGGGACTGTTTACTTAGTTTAATCTCAGATGCAGTTCGCCATTTGATATCGTAACCTCGGATATAAGATCCCATACATCGCCGTTTGTGTTTGATGATTATGAAATGAATGAATCAGACTTCCATTTGGGGAACTCATGGGAAAGTAAGGTAGTTCCATACGTCTGATACATCTTGTTGCTGCAAAGCTCGTATCTTTTTGTGTCGAAGATTTCGTTATGCTGTTTCCGCTGAATCTTTCTCTACTTCTTATGCCATTTATTCTTGGTCCACAATCATAATGATAAATGCCTTGTTTCCTTCTTAAAGGAAAAGCATCAGAATGGAACAAAACGCAGAGATAACCACTGCTGATGCATCGATGTCAGAAGGGTCGAGCTCTGGCCGGTTAGATCCGATAACCCGAGTGAGGAAACTCTTGTTCAGACAGATGCTTGTTGGAATCAAGGACGGAAGGTTCTTCTCGGGGAGTTTCCATTGTACAGATCAAGAGCAAGGGAGCATTATACGATCCAAGACGCATTGGAGTATCCAAACACGAGAAGATCTTCACCTTCGCCTATGGAACAGCGTTGCCTTGGTATGATCCTTATTCCTTCGTCTTGCAGGACCTCTTGCCATGTCGACTGTTCCATCGAGGAAACAACTCTCGTTGGTTCAGCTGAAATAGCGGAGAATGTGATTTTTTCCAGGTCCATGAACATGAATTTTCGACTTGCAACTGTTCTGTTAATTGCAGTACGATTCGTGTACGAATTTACATCACTACGGAATTTAATTTTTTTTGTTTGTGTTATGTCCGTATAGGGAAACACAGAAGCTAAGGACAGGCTTGTGTCCATTCATGTTTTTGCTTCTGTTCTCAAATCTGGACAAAATATCGGATCTAACCCTATATGGCGGCGGTGTTATTTTGTTATCTAATCACAAGCCATTGACTAATTAATCAAATACCCAAATCTACCGGAATTCGAATGTGGCTCGAGTTAGGGAATAGACCAAGAAAATTCACAACTGTATATGAAACTGGATTCGAAGACGACGACGATAACAAAATGAGCTGAATTCCCCATGCATTTGTTCTTACAACATAATTCTTTGCACATGTTTAAATGATATATATATATATAATAGATATTAACCAAAGCTGTCACCTTCGTAGCCAATTTGACTTCTTAAAATTATGAAGTTGCTCGACGTGTTGCATGGAACATGCAACGTATGTAAGAATGGCGTCTGGACACTCGTGATCGATGATGTACTTGAGCTTAGAATTTACAGCCCAGGAAAGATATCTATATATATATATATATATACTTAGATACATATATATGTATATAAGCTCATATACTGCATCCAATAAGTAAAAAAAACCCAAAATTGAACGTGCATGCAGACTGCAGTAATTGTGTCCGCATTTCAGACTGTATTCATAAATCACGTGGTTCGCACCTGACTCCCGTTATATCCATGCAGTGTCATTTTGTGCACTTTCCAATTTTTTTATTATTTGTATATACATTATAGCATTTCATATAAACTATACAAATTCTATTGGTACAATAAAAATTAGGAAGCCTAACTGTGAGTTATATAAAGATAATTTCAATCCATTGTAAAATCAAATAGAAATATGCCACGTGTACTATAATTGATGAGCTAGTTCCTTGGAATCCACGAAAGTGCCATGAAACCCGTACGGAACTCGAGATGGTAAATGAACGGTGGCTTCGAGCTGTAAATTAACGGCGTTAACTATCTGGAGCTCGGATTTCCACTCTTCTTCGTCGTGAACGTGACAGAATATATAACCGTCGTCTTCATTTTCACCGTCACCGCATCCTCTAGGCAGGAAAAATGGTTCACCGCCGTATTTTTTACCGCCGTAAATGTACTTTTGTATCTCTCCGGTGAAAAGATCCACCTTGGCTAGACCGGAGACCTTGGGCCACGGTTCAGCGATAGCCAAATAGGCGAACCGGGTTTTTCTACCTAACCGGTTTCGGTTCACCATACCGGCCTCAAGATTCACCTGATCAGCCTCCTTAACCAACGCGCGGCAGGTGATCACGCGCGTCCTCAAATTTATCCTCATCTCCGACAAAATGCTCCTCAGATTCTCGTCACTCTCGTTGAAGATCGAATCCGCCGGCGACATACACGATCCGATTACCACCACCTCCTCCGTCTCCGGCGATTCCCAAGCATTCCACAGGTGAAAACAGAAAGTTCCCGGCGACTCTACCCAGATTATTTCGGCGGAATCCGTCGCGCCCTTAGGCATTAGCCCGAATCTCGACGGCTTATTCCTGTCATAAACCACCGGAGATTTTCCGGCGATCATCTCTCCGAGCTTGAACACGACTTGATGGTCTGGTATCACCACGAAATTTTCCGTTATCGCGAAATCGTGGATCATGGTCGGAGACTCGAGCGGGATCTCCACGTCCGGTGATTTCTCGCCGTCCGGCGAGAATCTGAAGTATTTCAGGTAAGGTTTCTTCACGACGTCGTAGCTCAAGGCGTGGAGCTCCTTCGTATCAGGGTCGATTTTCGGGTGGGCGATCATGGCGGATTTTAACTGGCCGTTAAAATCGAAACGCCCCACCGTTTCGAGGTCTCCGGTTTGTGTAATTCTCAATTGGTAGGGTAAATCGTCCTCGGACATGGCTAGAAGCCGGTTATTGAAGTAAACCAAACCGGCGTTGGCCACTCCGACGCCGTTTTGATGGTTGATGAGACCAAATAACCCACGTGCGTAAAATAAACAGAGACGAGCGATCCCCGAGTGTCCGTGGAGCTCGCCGATGGCTTTCGGGAAAACCGCCCGGCCCAGCCGTTTCTCCTGAATCAGCCTCTCGGTTTCCGTGAACCGGCAGGCATAACTAGCCGAACCGTTGGTTATCTTAACGGCGTGAACCATTCCGTCGCCGTCGAACAGGTGGTGACCAGCGATGGGCTCGAACATGGGGTTTGCGCCGTTCCGGACGTAGACGCCGTCAATGCAGTCGGGAATTGTTCCTTCGACGGGGAGAGATCGCCGGAGGGGTTGCTCCGGCACCGGCGCATAGTTTCCGGCGATCTGGACTCGTGGATCGCTGGTTCGAGGGAGCGAATGCTCGCTTGAGATCAACGCGCGCTCCACGGTGTCGAGAACCGCCGCCGCCGCTCTCTGGAGGAGGTTCCACTGAGAAGGATTCTGCGGCGGCGCGACGGTGGTGGTTTTGGGTGTAATTATAGGGCGTTTTAGGGGTAGCTTAGGGATTTCGATCTGCACCGCGCACTTTATCGTCTGGTGCCTTCCGATGGGCCTAAAGCCCAATTCAGTTTGGGCTCTTGGCCTGAAAGAAGCATTGCTTGTCGAAATTGCCACCGGAGAAACCATATTGCTTTTCGTTTCAAATGTTTTCCACCTTTGTGAATGTCTCTTGTTTCCCGGAGAGAGAGAGAGAGAGAGAGAGAGAGAGAGAGAGAGAGAGAGAGAG